ATCTGATGAAACTGATGAAACCTAATAAAACTGATAAAACTTAGCAAAATTAGTATATAGACTATTCTCTGAATTAAATACAATATCTTATTTAATTATATTTTAACTATCCAAATCTAGATGAGTCTTGGCCACTCTAGTAGGTTTAGGTCACAGATAAATATGTCTAAGCTTTATTCTTGAATATAGTTTTCTTCTTATTTGTAATTAAGTTAGTTAAATATAATTAGCAGTTTACCAGTTAGCCCTAACTGCAAATGTTGGCCTTGGCCATAGTATTTATATATAGAAGTATTTTTGTACATAGTAACTCCATAAAGTTACTAACTTTAAAAACTACCAATAAAGATATAAGCAAGGTCTTACCTTAATACCAAAAAAAAAAAAATTATTATCTTTATGATTTTCTTTGATGTTAGATAATAATAATTTTTTTTGATGTTATATAATAATAATTTTTTCAAATCCCTACATTATCTGTTTTGAACCAAGAATATTCTTCAAATATATTATCTTATGCCTCACAATACTCAAAGGTACTATTTAATTTAATGAGTTCTTGAATAAGACATAGTTACTATATTGAAAGCTCTAAACCTGTTTTTTCCTATAATTCTTTAATATTATCATTACTATTCATTATTAATTTAGTGCTGATAAATTTATTTAAATAGTTAAACTTTCTATGACTAAAGTTTATTTCTAAAGTTCTGCCTTGTAATATTTTAATATATATATAAAATTGTCTTAAATCATTAATAATTAATATGCAATTCTCTGAAATATATTACAAAAATAAGCTAATTATATCTTAATTCTATCTGTTATTAGTATAAAATAATTTTACAAAAATTTAGTTACATCTAAATTTTAGTAGTAACTTGAATAAAAATCTTTAATCATTAATTTTGATATATTATTATTAATAATTTATTTTGTATATACTTGGACCAGAAAAAAAAAAGTGTGTGACTAGTTATTTTATAGTAGATATATATAGTGAATGTTTTTATTACATGTACTGTATTACAAATAATTGTATAACAACTACAATAAATATATATATCATATTGATATTTAATTAATCAAAAGATGTTTAGATTATAGAAGATTCTAAAGGGGAATAAACTTATTTTGGCTTTCTGTTAACTATGAATGCATAAGTATAGTGCTTGAAACTATTTCTTCACTAATGGATATTCTATCATTAGTGATAGTAAAGGCTGCTCTTAAAAAGGCCCTCTCACTAGAAATGCTCAAAGGCTTTATATATAAATAATCATGCACTATTTTACTAAGTATTGGGAATTTTTTTAATAAAGATTCCCAAGTTAGTATTCCTTTATTTTCTCACTTTTTATTATCATGTCAGATTTCTTCAAAGGGCTCAATCTCATATAATTCTAATTCAGCTTCAATTATATTCAGATGTTTTCACTTATTTGACATTTTTCTTCTAGGAATAAGAAACTATCTGCAGAAATAGAGTTAATTTCAACAGTTTCAATAGCTTCAGAAATTTCATCAGCTTCAACAGTGGTTGAATATTTTGTTTCATATGAAATATTTTTTTCTGAATATTATTAACAAACAATTCCACTTCATCTTTACTATATCCATCAACTTTAATTAAGGTTGCATATAAGTGCTCCAATTTACATCTTGGGTCAAGTACATGTGTAATTATAATATGATTCATGATTGTAGTTCAGTATTTGTCAATTTTTTTCATTTTATGATGATTTCTGGCTTTCTTATTGATATACTGACTAATATCTAAAATAACAATTACTGTATTAGAGATTGAGTTCAATATTTTCTCAGAAAGGGCTAATGTAGCATTTTCAAATTGTCTGAGAAGCTGACAGAAGGAACTAAGGATTACAAGTTCTTCATCATCTAAGCATGGATCTTTTAACACATATCATGAATTGCTTGATATAAGTAAAGATATCTTTCAAATATAGACAATATTAAGTTCTAACATATGTCTATTTCAAGAATAGGACACAAAGGTTTTATTTTAGAAATTCTACAGTATGACTCCAATACTTCCAATCAACTACTAATTAAGAGATTAGATAAGTATTTCATAATTTTGTAACCTTTTCTTGTAATGAGTTTATATCTTTTAGGCACTCTTTAACAATGAGATTTAAGATGTGACACATGCATCCTAAAAAAAAAAAAAAAAAAATTTAAAATAATAATAATAACAATAATAATAATATTAATAATAATAATAATAATAATAAACTAAACAAAAAAATCAAACCTATTGATATTAAATCTCTATTTTGTAGTCTATTTTGGAGTAACTGACTTACGACTTTATTTGTAGTAGTGTTGTCCATAGTAAGCATGAATATTTTTTTCTTAATAGAATATTTTTCTAAGGTGTTCATTATTACTAATGATATTTTTTCTGCTGTTTAGCCTGATTTTTGAAAACTTAATATGATGTTAACAATCCTCTAATCATTACTAATCCATGATGCTGTAATAACAATATAATAGCATTTGTAAACAGTTAAATGCCACCCATCAAATGTTAATAAGATTCTTTCATGAGACTTTGCTAGTATATTCTTGATAAAGCTAAATCTTAAATTGAATATATTGCCTATAATATGTTGTAATATTGTTGTTGAATATAAAATTTATATAAATTTTAATATGACAGAGATTTCTAGCTACTTGATAAAACAATGGATTATCAATAATACTGAAAGACATTCCTATCCTAACAACCAAGTCAATTATTAACTTATTCATTTCGTCTCTACTAATCTGCTAGAATACATTTCTTTGAGTCTCGGATAGTGAATATGTAGGATATTTCAAAGTATGTTCTTTTAAATATGTTCTATTTGTGTTTATTGAAAACTGCTTTTCTTTACAATAAAGACATCTCCAAACACTTTTATAATCATGTCTTATTTTTTCTTAGTGGTCTTTAATGACATATTTATTATCAACTATTTCTGATCTGATTTTATTTGGTGTTGAGATATTAGAGACTGTATTATTAAGAGATAATGTTGAATCTTCCATCATCAAAAAATAATTTAATATATATATATATAAGCAAGTAGTAGTAGAAAATATAAAGATAATATGTATTTATATTTATAAAAGAAGATAGAAAAGATAATATAAAGCAAGTACAATACAGTGCAAAATAAGAAGATGAAATACAAGGTATGCAAAAATTACTGTGCTATTTATACTTTTTTTAATCTATTTCTAATGTAATTGATTCCTTTAACTTAGCTCAACCATATATCTACTCGATTATTTATTTTATACTTAATATGATTATATATTTTAGCTAAATACTAACTTAACACAATTACTCATTTTGCATTTAATATATTTATTGTTTAGAATTAGCATGATAACTCCAAAGCATCTAATTAACAAAAAGCTAGCCTGACTATTAGATGAGCTAATCAGATTCTTTGTTAAATTTATTTTTTTTTTTTTTTAATATTAATGGTAAGGCCATGCCTCTATCTTTATTGAATATTTAATTGAGATTTTACATGAAGTA